GAGCGAACTGCAAGCGCGTCCTGTGTGAAAGCACAATGAGTCCGTGCTGCTTCTGCACCGCATACGTAACACACACAGACCACACACGCACTGCAGACGGAGCATGTGTGAAACAGGTGTTATACTTATTTATCACTCTAAATCCTAGTACACTCCTACAACTTAATTCCTATTCTATAGCACACCTGTACATACAATTTATTCTTTTGTGGTTTCTGTTTATGCAGGTGTACTTTATTCACATCTTATTTTTATCCATGCGTGTTTGTTGTCTCCGTGTACTGGAAGCTTGTGACAAACAAATTCCTTGTGTGCAAACATACTTGGCAATAAAGCCCTTTCTGATTCTGAATACCCACAGCTGACATGCCCTTGAGCAAGACACCAAACCCCCAATTGCTCCCCAGGAAAGTGTATGCACAATTGGGATAAATGCAAGTTGGTTGGATGGGTTAAACGTCCTGTTAACCAAACAGAAGTTAACGATTAACCCTTAAAATGTAACCTTATGTGCTGCCCCAGGTTAGCAACTGGATAAGGGTCATGGCTTGTACAGAAGCCTGGACTCAGAACACATTACTCTACAAAAGGTTGTGGAACCTTGGTTGAATAGTGTGGGGGAGAAAAAAAAAAAAAAAAAAAAAAAAAAAAAAAAAAAACCGATTCTGCAGAGTCAAAACACAAACAAAAGATAGCTCGGGGTTCTGCAACGTTTATTAAAAACAATAGATTTACACGACCAGAGTAACTTCTCCACTAGAAACCACGGTCTGCTCACTAGAGATAGCCTTGATGAGAGTGTCTCTTCCTGAAAGACAGATGTTAAGTGTGAATGCACTTATAAATTCTCAGTTCCTCTAGTCGAGAGCAAGAACTCACGTTTCCTGGTGCAGCTTTGCTCACAAGAGCCAGAAGAGGGATGGCACACCTCTGTACTGCAGTGGATGAAGATCTGACAGGGAAGAAAGAGGCTCAAGTAATAGAATTCACAAGTAGTAAAATTAAAATGTTCAAGTAAAGGGGGACATACAGTTTCTTGCAGAGGAGCCAGTGAGGCTGGATCTACAAATGTGAACATCTTCACAACAAAGCGCTTGTAGTGGGTTGGGAAATGAAGACCAGACGATCCAGTCACTGGAACCAGTGTGGTCAGGTAACGGTCGTCCTGGTAAGGGCATCTGAAGACAAATGGGAAGGTTAGAAAGTCTTCCAGCAGACTAACTGGATAAAGAATGGCATTACTCACCCGTCGATCAGAAGGTCCCATTGGGGGAGACTGAGTGGACTGGGGGTTGATGTCGCCCAACAACGTCTCAGCATCAGGACAATGTCGGGGTCGGTCCTCTCGAGAATACGCACCTCAACATACACAGGCTCTCGCAGGACTTTTGTGATGGTATAATCAGCATCACTGTAGTAGGACGTGTAGGCCTCATCCCCTGAGGAACACTGGGGTTTAAACAGAAACTGCTGGAGTTTGACAGGCTTTAGGATCACACAGGACAAGACCTTACCTTCTGCACAGCCTTTGGTGACACATTGGCCATTGGCCAGTCTGAGCTCCACCCTGAGAGGTCCAGGAGCAGCTACTGGTGGAGGTGGAGGAACAGCGTTGACCTCCACAACCAGAGCTTCCACAGACGTTCCAGAGTACCTACACTGGAAGAGAAACCTGGACAACAGACGGTGAGCTTGTAGCATTTATCAGAGATTAAAGATTCACCCCAAGTCATAGATCACTTACTCAAAATGACTGTCCCTGGTTATAGAACCAAACGGTCCAATCCCCACTTCATACGAGGAGGTCATTCTGTTCTCATACACCACATATCCACTGTCCTCCTGTGAATAGCAACACTGTTGGCACACAGTCCACAAGCAATGCAGAATAAAACCAGAAGCAGCTGCTCACCATCATGCTCGTGCCACATGCGGTCACAGGGAACTGGTATATAGCAAAGTAAGGTGTGGACTCCACAGGAGCACAAGGTGGGTGGTTTCCACCCAATAAACGAACCGAATCCAGACTCAGTCGAGGCAGAGTAACATCTCTAGCCACCACTACCACAAACTGCCCATCTCTAATACACTGGACAGTCACTGTAACAAGGTACAAGAGCAGGTTAAGGCTGAGGATCAAGTTACCATGAACAGAATAATATTGAGAACGCTTACCTGCCCTCCCATAGTAACACTGCGGTCTCTTAAAGCAGCAGTTGATAGCTTCACACTCAGCACCACTGATCCCAGGTTGTCCACATTGGATCTGCTCATAATCAGCTACAGCACATTTATCAAGGGGCTCTGTCTGCGCCACTGGTTTCTGTAGCTGAAACTGCGGAAGAAACCACTGGTTAGTTTGTTGTTGAACTGGCTGCTGAAACCGCTGGTCGGTTTGCTGGATCATCACAGCTTGAGGATTCTGGAGCAGATTACTCCACTTTGGAACAGCATGACAGAAAGCACAAACTACCAAAATCTGAAACAAACACCAACTTCCAGCCATTGTTCAACAACTAATCACAAAGTGGAGATGCTGCCCTTTGGTCTTTTTGTACTCTACAGCTTTCAGCTAATTAAAGATTGTCCCGCCCTCTTCATTAACCCTCACGATTCTCCAGACTTGCATGAGTTGGAGCTTATGCAACTGATTGATTCTCATTGATTCAATTGTCCTTGTTACATACATGAAAACACAAACTTGTGTATAGGAGCCATTTATAGGTTTTGTCATGTTTTTCCTTCTTACTTGCATGTTTTCTGGACTTTGCGTGCGCCCTCTACAGGACAAACCATAAGATAAAGCCACAGGTGTCTAATGAGATAGCGTAGTCTACTGGGAGCACACGGTCTTTAGACCTTCTTTCTCCCTTTCAATGCTTTCTGGTGCTCTTATAATTTGCAGCTTAAATTATTTTCTATTTTACTTTCAATGTTAAATTGCATCAGTTTATTTTTGTAACATTCAAGATTAATAAATCAACTGTGATCTACTTCATTTTCCTGGATTTTAATGGCTATAAAGTAGGGCTGTGCGGTTAATCGAAATCGAAATTTGAGACGTTGCGATTTGCTAATCGCAAAGCCTGCCATGTGGACGCGATATTACTCTGTTCCAGAGCATATGCATGACTGCCTGCCTTGAGTTGCAGTCTTACTTGCCCTGTGCAAGAGAGAGCGCACCTCCGTTCTCCCCAATCAGCACTGCTCTAGCCAACTGCGTAAACGGCCACCATTATAAAAAAAAAAAAAAAGCGGAGGTGTCTAATGAGATGGCGTGGTCTACTGGGAGCACACGGTCTTTAGACCTTCTTTTTCCCTTTCAATGTTTTCTGGTGCTCTTGTAATTTGCAGCTTGAATTATTTTGTATTTTACTTTCAATGTTAAGTTGCATCAGTTTATTTTTGTAACATTCAAGATTAATAAATCAACTGTGATCTACTTCATTTTCCTGGATTTTAATGGATATAAAGGAGCAAACAAAGAGGTGTCTAAAATTTCCCCGGCAGACCCAAGAAGTGACTAACTTTTAAATCAAGTAAGGGTCACTACATTGTGCATAATTCAAAACAGTTTACTAGTATGAACTGCTGCTATTTTGAATTCAGCCTTGGTTTTATCCTTCATTAGCTGAACCCAATTGTCGACAATTCTAGATTGTTTTATGAATACAAACATTTTGGAATGAACAGGTCTGTATCTTCAGACTGGCTCAGAAGAAAAGTTGATTTAACATACTCATGATTACTATGAAGCTTTGAATGTTACTTGAACCCTGTCCCAACCATAGCTGCTTTATTCTTAAATGCTGCATAATTAAAATAGTGCTTTTATAAAGGTGCTTTTAAAATCTTGCACACACACTGAAAGATCAATATCCTTCGGTATAGCCCACATTTTTGTTTGCCGGAGTGCAGGTTAGCCCTTCACTCATGACGAAATATAACGCCTCAAATTTGTTGAAATGCATAGTAATTTGTTTGTCAGAAAGATTGGCTCCACCAGGTTCTCAGCTAAACATGCCAAGGAATTATTTTACCACCATCACCTTTGTTTGGAGTGGGACAAAAATGCTTACACATTTAAAAAGCAACACTTATTTGACCTGACAGCAAAGGCCAAGTATGGTAACCCATACTTGAAAATTGTCCTCTGCATTTAACCCTTCCAAATTATTGCATGCACATCAGAAGCAGTGAGTAGTGAACACCCAGAGCAGTTGGCAACCAGTCGCTGTGGTGCCCAGGGAGCAACTGGGTGTATTGAAAGTGGAAGAGAGCACGGTTCATTCAATCCCTAACCTACATTCCCTACTGATATTGAGATTTAATCCTGCAACCTTCAGGTTACAAGTCCAACCATTAGGCCACAACTGCCCAGATTGCAACTAAATCTTTCCCCATTTAAGCAGATAGTACTAGCAGAACTGACAAATGAATCAAATATGACTTACAACCATCATGAAATACCTGACCTGCAGTCATAGCCTAATGGTTAAAGTGTTGGACTTGTAACCCAAAGGTCATGGGCTCAAGTCTCAGTACCAGCAGGAATTGTACGTGGGGGTGAATGTATAATGCTCTCTACCTTATATACCCACAGCTGAGGTTACCTTGAGCAAGGCACCAAACCCTCAATTGCTCCCCATGTGCCACAGCAAAATGTGTATGCGCACTTGGATGTGATCAATGCATGCTGGTTGGATGGGTAAAACATCCTGTTAACCAAGCAGAAGTTAACGATTAAACCTAAATTTGGTACCTTATGCAGTGGCCCAGGTTAACAACTGTAGGATGGATAAGGGTCATGGCTTATACAGAAACCTGGACTCAGAATGCATGACCTTACAAAAGGTCGTGGAACCTTGGTTTAGTGAAACGAAGAGAGAGAACAAAAATAAATAAAAAAAAATAATAATAATAATAATAATAATAATACAACTGGGAAGAGCCATGTAATACCAGCTTCTGTAAAGCCAAAATACCAATTGACAAAGATCTTGGTGTTTCACAGTTTATTAAAAACACTAGATTTACATGACCAGAGTAACCTCTCCACTAGAAACCACAGTCTGCTCACTAGAGACATCCTTGATATGAGTGTCTCTCCCTGAAAAAGAAATGTTAGAAGTGTGAATGCACTTCTATAATCTGCTCCTATAGTCAAGACGGAGCAAGAACTCACGTTTCCTGGTGCAGCTTTGCTCACAAAAGCCAGAAGATGGATGGCACACCTCTGTACTGCAGTGGATGAAGACCTGACAAGAAAGAGGCTCAAGTCATAGAATTCACTAGTAAAATTAAAATGTTAAAGTAAAGGGGGGCATACAGTTTCCTGCAGAGGAGCCAGTGAGGCTGGATCTACAAATGTGAACATCTTCACAACAAAGCGCTTGTAGTGGGTTGGGAACTGAAGACCAGATGATCCGGTCACTGGAACCAGTGTGGTCAGATAACAGTCATCCTGGTAAGGGCATCTGAAGAA